TACTCTACTCTACTCTACTCTACTCTACTCTACTCTACTCTACTCTACTCTACCCTACCCTACCCTACCCTACGCTACCCTACGCTACTGTATTCTCATTCTATTCTATTCTATTCTATTCTATTCTATTCTATTCTATTCTATTCTATTCTATTCTATTCTATTCCACTCTACTCTACTCTACTCTACTCTACTCTACTCTACTCTACTCTACTCTACTCCACTCCACTCCACTCCACTCCACTCCACTCCACTCCACTCCACTCCACTCCACTCCATTCTAATTCTAATTCTAATTCTAATTCTAATTCTAATTCTAATTCTAATTCTAATTCTAATTCTATTCTTATTCTATTCTGTTCTATTCTATTCTAAAATTTGCTCAGTAAGTAAAAGATCTCAGCGAGCCATTTTACTTGGAGCAATGCCGACTGTTCTGGACATTATTGTTCCTCTTCCATAATAATAAAACCTAATGTCCAGGCTTATGCACGTAGTCCAGTTCTTGTTGAGCACATCTGATTCCAATTAGTGTCTTCCAAGGACCTCGATGTACCTTTGTACTGCCAGGGCTGCATGTTGCCACTGAGCAGTGGGATCTGGCATGTCTGCCCGTCTGCTGGAGAAAGAAAGAAAAAAATAAAATCCAGAATTAGGCTTCCTTTCAAAAGAACTAACCGAATTATAATCTTTAACTCGTGTCTGATTCTACGTAGGTGGATGCTTCCTTGTCTTTCTTAGACGGCTTTGTGGCCGAAGGATTGGACCGGGGTGCCTTGCCATACAAACCTCATCATCAAAGACAGGAAGAGAAACTGTCCCAGGAAAAAGGTGATTGCTTTCTAAGAAATGAAGATTGTGTATTGCTTCCTCACTAATTCCTAATTGCTTCCTAACAGTGAGAACGATGAACAGCAATAGCAATAGCACTTTGACTTCTATACCGCTTCACAGTGCTTTGCAGCCCCTCCCTCAGCGGTTTTAGTGTATCAGCATGTTTGCCCCAACAGTCTGGGTCCTCGTTTTACCTACCTCGGAAGGACGAGTCAACCTTTAGCTGGTCAGGATCGAACTCATGGCAGTAGGCAGAGTTAGCCTGCAATATTGCATTCTAGGCACCGGGAGGGAGGGAGGCAAGAGGCTGGCTCTGTAAACCACTTAGAGAGGATTGTAAAGCCCTGTGAAGAGTATATAAGTCTAATTGCTATTCCTTCCTTCCTTCC